GGGGCCGCGTTAGCACCTTGTGTCATTGATGGAGTTGTTCCAATTAACCTGCAGAGCAATCAAGGCAAGCTGGGGCTTTCATGTTGCCTTGTGGTCCTCAGCTTTTTTGTTAATAAGGCAGAAAACGGTATTTTGCAATTGCTCATTAAACCTTGAGACGCTTTTTGAGGACGGGTGATGCTCCTACCAACCTTTTTCCCCAAATAGATGTAGTGTTGCATGTTACCAGCTACAAACATTTAATTTTGGGCATCCTCCCCAAGTTATTCTGGCTGTGTAGGAGCATTTAAGGCTTCTTTGGGCCAGACAGCTTGATGCCTCTCTAGAGCGTGTAGCTGGGCTGGCTGTGCAAGGAGGGGGCTGGTTTCACCATCTATCTGTGTCTATCTCCGAACCCTTAGGCTTGTTTCCTATCTCTATTTCCTTATCTCCTTTCTGTCCTCTCTCCTGTCCCAAACGTCTATCAGTGACGTCCCCGAGCGCCTCAACCCGACGGCTGGTGAACCTGAAACTTCTCCTTACCGGCTTGTTGCTGCATGGTGCAAACTCGCCCGAAAAGCAGGAGGTTGGGAAGGGGAATAAGGGGCCTCTCGTCATTTGCTCCCAAAATCGGCTTTCCGCCTCCGTGCCCCTAGGTCTGCTCCCGCGTCTGTGTCCGGCTGCGCTGGGAACACAGGGCTCCTCCTTCCTGGCGAACTGCAACGCTGAGTTATCCCAATGGAAAAAGCGGAATCCGCAACATGCCGGGACTCCGGGGACAAGCTCTTCCTGCTCCTCGGAGGCAGCGCTCCGTCTTTCCTGCCTGCGGACCAGGGAGTCCCTCCCCTTCCCTGGGTCTGCTGGCAGGAAAGCCAGGCTTCAGAGGAGCCTGTGTCCTGCCTGGATGAAACGGGAAGCTCCACAGGGAAAGTCCACAAGGCTCCAGCCTTGGCCGCCTGCTAGACATGGAGCAGAGCAGTAGGTGGCAACGGTGGACGGGAGCCAAGCTCCGCTTGCCAGCTGATCCGAAGGAGAGCGGAGCTTTCGGAACGGCTTGGGCTGTGCTATGGAGCCCCTTGGTTCTTAGGGAATTGGGGAAGCAGGAAGCAGCCTTCCCTCACTCAGGAGGACCTGCCTTGGAAAGGTTTTATTC